CATGCATTGCTTTGAGACTGCTTCATTGGAGGGGAAAACTCTTGTTGACATATTTGCACCCCCAAACCCTGCAAATCCAAGCTGTGAGGCTTCAGTTCCACTCTGCTGAATGTTTCTGGACTGCCTGTCTCCTCCAATGAAGCTGGCGTCCTGATGATGCCCACGCTGGCACCAGCTGTCACGTTTAGCTTTGTTTTTGGTTTTCCTTTCCTTACGTTGATGTTGGTATTCTCTAAGCTAGAGGGCACAGGTGGTGCAGTCCATTTTGTTGGTTCACAAATAAAAACATTTTTAAATTTTAAGCGTTTGTTTTGCATTGTTGGAGACTTTTAGTACAGCTTCTGGTCCAGTTGGACAGTGGTGTCCAAAAAAGAATATATTCCAGATGCACTAAATTATATATATATTTTTCTCATTAAGTGGCTGAGTGAAGTCAGATAAAATGCAGAAAGATTTTTTTCTGTATCAATAAAATTCCAAGACAAATTTGAGTAAACTCAAGAAACTGGGACTCCAAGTGTTCTGTTCTTTGTTTTGGTGTTCCCTTGCTGAGAAAATTCACAAAGTGGATCCTGAACGCAGGTGAATGTCTGGTCATGCACCAGAGGGATTAAGCACGCACCGCCTCACACTGATATAGTCTTTAATATGCACAATAACACATCACCAAAAACAGACCTGTTTACATAGTCTTCACAGGGCTTTCCCTGCACAGTGACCACAACACAACCTGTACGGTTAACACCCAGAAGCCTTCCGCTCCTTCCACTGTGCCGAAATCAGTCTTTTAAGTGCAAAATTTACAAAGCCACACAATCACCAGTACTTTAACCTACAGGCAACCCAGGACAGAGATGTAGATAATGAACACACTAAAACACCAGAATACTTAGCTGAACATAGTTCAGATTATTGGATGTGTCATAAGCACAATGCCACGAAGAGGCATTACTTTGGGCCCACGCTCAGGGGCCAAACCGACACACGGTGCCAGCAGGCCAGAGAGAAGGCGCTTCTTCAATACACACAAAGGCTCCCTCTCACCAACAGCACGTGGTATTGTACACTTATTTATATTTGTACAATGTGACACGTTGGACAGGAAAGAAACCATTGGGCTTAACATGGCGGCTGAACTGTATGACAAGCCACTGAAATCAAACTCCTTTGTGGCCGTTTTGAACTTCATGTTTGACCTAACGCAGCATCATATAATTGTGGCTGTATAAACTAGATAACTTTTTTTCTCTTTTTCTCTAAAAAGCTGTAATCGTGATGTATCAGCAGCTTCAAATGTGCAGTGCATCAAAGACATTACCTCGTCAGTTTCAGGCAGGCCCTGAAGAGACCACGTTTCAACAATTCAAACGGTAGGTGCAGCTCATGAAGCCATCGCACCACATCCTCTAAATGAACTGGTTCCTATTCATGTGGACTCTTCTGTTTTCTTAGACTGATTTGTTACTGATTGTTACAGAAGTTCAAAATCACCACTGTGGGGAAAATTAACTGATTAGTTAATGAAACATTCTCTATTATTTTAATATTTGTTTAATATAACTTAAAGGTAGAGCTACATTCTCACATAGTATAGAGGCTAAAGGCTAAAATAAACGGATTCCAGCCTCCATGTGAAAACTGACTTGCCTCTGATTTTAAAATGGCAGGCAGCCAGGAAACCAAAGAAAACTACTTCAGCCATTTTTAATTGGTGCTCCTACATAAAATAAGCAAATTTTAAACCAAAAAATGCAAGTAGAGTTGTTGTAATACCTAAACATAGTAGGCGCACAACTCCTTTTTCTTAACAAATGTTCTAATTGCTTCAAAACGATTTCCACAAGATTTTAAAAGTAGGAACTTTTTGGAATAAAACTGTTATGAATGCACTTCATCATATAGCAAAACATTGAGTGATAGACAGGGATAAACAAGTCTATGTACTGTATATAACATCAGTGACTTTAGTTCATGATACAATTTGTATCAAACAAAGTTCTTCTCTGTCTAGCGTGGATTCAGCTGGGATCTGCTACAGCCACCTGTCCAGGCCGTGACTCAAAAAGCACAGCAGGAGAATTTGTTAAATATATTTACAATAGGTACATGTTTTACTTACCCATGCTGACATGCTGTGTCTGTAGCAGATACCAGAGATGACCCCAAATAAAGGGCCAGAGAGAAAGAGAGAGATGTCCCTTACTAAAACTAAGGTACACACGACAGGGTCACCCATCTCTGCAGACACAACTCCGTTCAAAAAGCCGGCGCCGATCTTCTCAACACCTTTTTTTCCCCCCCTTTATTCTTTCTTTTTTTTTAACCAACGTGGGGGGAAAATAACACACACACACACACATAAAGCTAGGTATCAGATTCACCTTCTAATAATAAATGAGCAGATATGATCTTTAAGCTTGTTTATGAAACGTACTCGGACCCCCCTCGAGTGGGAAAACATACAAATGTTAGGACTGGAAACTCCACTCAGCATTTCGACTGGGCTGGGAACTTTAGAAGATCTGAAAGTGTAATTGGTGTGTGAGAGACTAAATTAAAAAAAATAAATAAACAAAAGAACCTTCTCCATGTGGCACATTTTACATTTCCTCGATTGACTCTGGCTTGTCTGAACCCCCATTTAGTTGATTCTGCTCGGTGGTCCGAGCAGCCTTACAGATGCTCCTTTTTCCTTTTGCATCCTTCAAGCTTTAACATCGTCTCATGAAGTCGCAGCAGAGCAGAAACCCAGACGTCGGTCAGAAGCCCGCTTTGGATTTCTCTGCCAGGATGGCGGCGGCCAGCTGCTGGGGGTCTGTGATGTGGGGGCTCCGGGCCATCACCCAGCTCACCAGCTCGGAGGGGAAGATGTTGCACAGGTTGATGTACACCTTCTCCCTGGTGTCCGCGTAGCGGCTGTGTGCGGGGGAGTCTGGGTGAGGCGGTATGTAGGGGGCGGGGCCGTGGGGAGGAAGAGCCAGATGAGAACTGTGAGGGGAATAAGGCGGGTGGGGAGAGTGGGCGGGGGCCGGCGGGTGGTTTAGGTAATGCGTGGGAGACGGGTGGAGAGCCGGGTGGGAGGAATGGTGCTGCGTGTAGCCATCCTGCTGCCACGGGGGGGCGTGCCAGGACGGCTGGCGCGTGTCGGGCAGGCTCTGGTAGGGGGGTGTGTCGTACCTGGAG